ACGTGGAGAATTTGTGATATTGTCACATGCACACAATGACATTTCTTTGTCATAAATCCCTCTAATTGCTTCAGAGTTGCTGTAGGCCTCTTGGTAGCCTCTCTGACCTTTTACCTCCTGGCTCTTTTATCCAGTTTGGAGTGACGCACTGATCCAGGGAGGGTTTGTGTTGTATCAAATTCCTTCCACTTCTTAATAATAGACTTCACTGTGGCATTGATAAAGCCTTTGACATTTTTTTTGTATCCATCTCCTGACTTGTGCCTGTCTACAACTTTATCCTGGAGATCTTTTGACCGTGCCTTGCCACCCATAGTTTTATCGTTTACTTCAGTTGCACTACCAGGGACTGAAATGCTCCAGGAAAGCTCTTTTTTTTTTAGGCCTCATTCACAGTGTTGGCCCGTACAGATCTGTGCGGCATGCACGGGCGTTTTGGGCCATTCCCGGGAAGGACAGGTGCTGCGTGTGATTGTACACAGCAACCTGTTCTTCTCTATGGGAGTACGCCGCCGTATGCTCACCCGAACTGCACATCCGTGTGGGTGTCCCTGCTTGGACGCAGACAGGATCCATCCATCCACTGTATGTGTGTGTTTTTTAAATGTGGGTGTGTGTGTTTTTTTTAAATGCGTGTTTCTTTCATTACGTGTGTTAAGTGTGTTTTTATGCATGTGTGTGTTTGATGAGTATGTGATTATATGTGTTTGTATAAATGTTTGGTATTGTGATTTAGTGTGGGCACTGAGGTTTAAAAAAAGGTTCAGCATCACTGCCTTAGGCAAAATAGGGAAACACATATTCAAACTTATTTTCAGTGTTGGCACTTTGAGAGGAATAAATTGATTTTGGGTACTTGTGTTCAAAAACCTTAGCCATCACTGCTCTAAGGCAGTGGTTCTCAACCTGTGTAACCTCGGGACCCACATGTTTCCTTGGTCATTAAGGCGTGACCCAAAAATGATTTCATTTCTGAAACATTTTAATTTATTACACAAAACAACTTGTGCAGTATAGATGCGTCCGGTGAAATATCTGTAGTTGAGTTTCTGGCTCTGCTCACCTGCTCCGGCTGTTATGATGATCATCTCTCCCACTATTGCCTAATTTTATATATGGAGAATACAATCAAACAAGAATAAACCTCGGGACTTTAAGGATACTCAAATATATGACTCAAATAATACATTATTGAAAACTACTTTTCTCTATTGTCTTTCGAGATACTGTTTTTTGGGGGTTTTTTTCTCTTTTTTTTTTTAACTTGAAGCTGTAACTGCCTGGGCTCTCTTTGTAACAGATTTTGAACCAGTTGCGGCAGCAAAGGAGATGGTCTTGCCTGTCCCAGGGAGTGCTTCATGTTTCGAATATAGCCATTGTTCATATTCCTGGGGTGAACTGGCAGGCAGATTTTTTCCAGCAGACAACATCGAGATACTGAGGAATGCCTCCATCTGGGGGTCTTTTAAGACATATGTCTGCTTTTGGGGGTATGCCGGATGCTAGCATCTTGGCTCAACAAGTAGCAGAACAGTGTTTCCAGAATGGGGGATCCAATGGCAGATTCACCCAGGTGACACCATATTTCTTGATTCATTTGTTCCCTCTGCTGAAGCTTTTAGCTCGTCTACTTGGCTTCGCATTGGCTGTTGGTATATCTACTTCAGGCAAGGTTTATCACTGGTGTGAGCCTCTGGGAGTTTCCCTGTTTACTTTACAGTCAGACATGTTTTTTCTCTCCTCCAGTTGGGGGGGGGTAAAACAACATGTGGCCCTTAGTACCATCAAAATCAGGTGTCTACACTTTTTCAACTTCCCCGTACTTGTTATTTGCTGATTTCGTCCTTTTATACAAGGGATTACTCATGTTGCTTCCCCTCTTAGGCTTTGCCCCCTACCATTGAATTTAAATCTAGTATTTTCTGTGTTTTAAAAGAAAACGCCTTTAGAACTTGTCTGGCTGCAATTGACTCCAAGGATATCTTTCTCCATTGCCTGGATGTGGTGTGGGTCTTCCTTTCAGACATGTTCTCTTTTAGGCAGACATATGGCCATTTTGTCATTCCAGAAGGTCCTGAAAAAGGTCCTCCAGTTTCCAGATCCACTATTTCTAAGTGGATTCGACAAGTTTTTGTGCAGGCCTATGACATGCAATATAAAGTGTCGTCTTTTCCTGTTAAAACCCACTCCACTAGGGCAGTGAGTGTTTTTGATTACCTTCAAAAGCATACATAGTCCACGCAATCCATATGCTACAGCGTGGAGTGGATGGTGATTTATAGTATGTAGGATGCAACATACAATGCTGGAACACCCAAAACTCCCAGAAAGGAACAGAGTCAGGAACACCGGCAATAATATTTAATTAATGGAACATCCAAAACATAAGAAGCCAGGGGTTAATTCTGCCCCACATGTTCCGCATAAATCTAAAATACAACTTCTGGGTGAACTGATCGTTTACATTTTCATCATTACTGCATCAGTTTTTATTGTTGCTAGCACATTTTTGAATAGAAAATGATCTGTTTTCTCCATTCTGACTGCAGGTTTTTTTGCTTCTATCCATTTCTGCCGAAGGAAACTGGTGCAGGTTGTCAGTTAACTTTTTCCACTTTAATAGTTTTCTTGTTCAGCCTCTGTGCAGGTTACAAAATCATTTTTTCTCCACTTTACAGTAATATTGCTTCATGCTTCAGGATGGGAATGTAATTGCAGCTTCATACGAAAGGCTTGATAAAATGTCAGCTTGCTTGTAATTGACAATGTGACAATGTGAAAAATGTCCTTGCTTATATGAAACATTAAATACTACTTCATAAGGGGAGAAACAGAGGAAATTTTAAGCTGTCTCGGTCTCCTTTTAGAGGAAGATGAAAATTTTTCATAAAGGCCGTTTTATCATTATCTCCTCTATATATACAGTACTTGTGGTGAAATCATGTTTGATGTGCTGTTTCCAGGGTGATGGCATTTGAGAATTTTTTCTCAGAATGGCTAAAGTGTAAATTGCTGTTGTGGTTATCAAAAACAAAATCATCAAATCTTTCACTACAAAAGGATTGAATGGCTTTCCTGTGTAGAGCGGTGTATACCGCTGCACATGTGTTTTATAAAAGGGGAAGAATAAAATATTTGTATGGGGTTCTGGCATTGTTTGTTTTTTTAATTTTTTCTACGTAGTCGCACCTTGGGACCACAACAGCCAAAGAGGAAGCCAGTGTGAAATTAATTATTATACAGGATTTATATAGCGCCAACAATTTGCGCAGCGCTTTAATCACTTGGAATTAAATCCACATAATTTTCAGTATTAAAGTACAACTAAAGGCTCCTGTATGACAATAGTACCTAGTTCAGTTATTATTTGATGTGCAAGCCTCATAAAGTTAACCAAACGCTTAATTTCCCTTCTCTGAGCGAAATCTTCCTTTGTTTTGGCAACAGAGGCAGTGCTGTCAATCCAGAAAGCAGTGGGCGGGACTAGGTGTGGCCAGGTGCTGATTGACAAGCTACAGGCTTGTGAATCAGCAGTAACCATGCTGCCAGCCACATTCCCGCAACATTTGTTCATTCAACTGAGCAGACACAGCCTACATGAGAGTGGCAACTCTGCTCTAAATTGTGGAGCAGTGTAGCATTATTTCCACACCATCACAGGAAGTTGCATGGGGCTGACTTTAGTGGCTCAACAGGCATTTGTGGGACTTTGCAGGAGGACTCTTAAGTGCAGCTACACTTCTAATCAAGTGACGCAGCACATATACAGGTGAAACTCGAATAATTAGAATATCATGCAAAAGTAATTGCAGTAAGTGCTGCAAAAGGGGCCCAAACCAAGTACTGAGTACATATGCATGCTTGTACTTTTCAGAGGTCCGATATTGTTCTATGTACAATCCTTGTTTTATTGATTGCATGTAATAATCTACTTTTTTGGGGTTCTTGGGGTTTTCATGAGCTGTAAGCCATAATCATCACAATTATGACAAATCATGGCTTGAATTATCTTGCTGTGCATGTAATGAGCCTATCTCATTTATTAGTTTCACCTTTTAAGTTGCATTAGTGAAATAAATGAACTTTGCACGATATTCTAATTATTCGAGTTTCACCTGTATGTAATGGGAGGAGGTAGGCCTACCTTTTAAGTTTGGTTTCTAGTTAAGCTCTCTTAATTCCGCTATTGGTAGGGGAGCATATATGGGCACCTAATTGTAGGGATGCACTGATACGGATACTAATATCGGTATTGGTGCCTATACAGAGTATTTGGGTGAGTACTCGTACTCGCTCAAATTCTCCCGATGACAATTCTGATTCCGGAACTTCCGGGATCAGGAAGCTGTGCGGCGAGTCATGACGGGTGCCAAAATAAAACAGTACTCGATACGGAAAAAAAAGTGTATCTGTGCATCCCTTCTTAATAGCTTGTTTGCATTTAACAGGCAGACCCCATGTTTAACCTTCTTGGCGGTATTCCCGAGTATGGCTCGGGGTTAATTTTCAGTACCAAAAGCGGTAGCCCTGAGCCACACAATACACAGCGCTGCACTTGCCTTCTCCCTACGAGCTGCGCTGTGTCCTCCGGCCGATGCCGGCATCCGTCTTCCGGGTTCCGTCCCTTGCGAGCGGCCGCGTCGCCATGGGGCGCAACCAGCGGGAAATTAAAAAAAAAAAACGGAAAAGAAAATAGACACAAAAAAGCAAAGAATATTGGGAGAAATCATACCGCCAGGGATGTTAAGGACCTTTTTTAAATGCAGCTTGCTTGTTTTAAGGTTGCATTTGACATGCAACCTTGAAAGGTGCATTCTATCTGTATTTGACCTGCTTTTAAGCTGTGTCAACCTACTTTACACTGCTTTTGCATTCCCATTGACCTACATGGAGAGAGAAGCTGTTCTGATGTAAAAAAAAAAGCTTGTTGACCCAAGCCATAAGATTGTCTGTGTTCCAGAATAGTGCACCTAGCACTAAATGTGTGCTCTTCATTTCAGGCACTTCAGAGTCATCAGGCTCGCGAGCACAGAGTACAATCTCACCTGCTGACCTGCATGGTATGTGGTATCCTACCGTAAGGAGGACGTTGGTGTGTCTGTCCAAGTTATATCGATGTATTGATGTAAGTTGAATTGCAAAGTAAACAGTTAAACCCTTTTGTCACCATTTATGTAGGCTTTGATATGATGCTGTTGGTTAAAATAAACTGGAGGGTGATATCAAGTATAGATGAGGAAAAAATGATTTTGAGATGAATGGCTAGTTTGGGCGAATTATATTTAGAGATCTTTTGTCTTATTCATACTCCTTTTTTTTTTTTTTTTTTTTTTTAACTCTGAAAAACATCTTAACACTTTTTAACCCTGCTAAACATCCTAACACACTTTCAGCACACTTTGTACTAAGAGCAGGGATACTTGGTTCACATCTATTGCAATACATGTATAAGATGACCAACTGTGTCAAAAGAGAGTCCCTACTTTACTAGTGAAATGCCAAACACATGCATGTACATAGGATACATATAGTTAAAAAGATAACTTTCTAATCTTTTATGTTTTATTATTTATAGTAATGTACAGAGGGCTCATTGAGAGTATTTTCATATCAAATGTGAACATTATATATGATTGTATTAAAAAAAAAACAATTCCTGTGTTTTTTTCATATATACAATGAGGGGAATTTATCAAAACAGGAGCAGACAAAATCTTAAGCAGCTGTGCACAGCAACCAATCAGCTTCTCTCTTTAAGGTGCACATACACCTTACGATTATGGGACGATAATCGTATGCGATCGACTTTTCGAACGACAATCGTACGTGTGAATGTAGTGCTCGAACTGACATTACTGTACAATCGTACGACTTTTGACGGTCAAGCATGTTTGAAAACTTTGCTCGATTGTACGATTGTCGTAAGGTTGCTGGCGTTTCCGTCCGTCAAAAGTCGTACGATCTACCCTGCGCATGCGCGAACGAAAATACGACAAATCAATTAGCGCATTTCGTCCAGGTGCTTTTCGTTAATTACGGCTAAATTAATCTTGCGATCATCGGGGCAGGATGGGGCTGTCGTACGAAAATCGTACGACTATTCGATTATCGGACGAAAAGTTTCGTCCGATAATCGTAAGGTGTATGATCACCTTTAATTTAGTGCTGTTCAGATTTGAAAATGGAAAAGAGAAGCTGATTTGGTTTCCATGCACAGCTGCTCCAGTTTTGATCAATTCCACTCAGTGTATTAATGTAGTTTTCTATTTCTTTTTTCTCCAGAGGGCAGTCTTCCAAGGTCTCTCTCAGGAGGCGCTCTCAGCTTGCATTCAGTCTTTGTTGGGTGCTTCCGATGCCATTACAAAAAACAAGGTCAGAAGAATATCTTTATTTTGTACATTTATTGATTTCTGAATGAAAAGCCGCATGATTTGGGTAAAGATTTTGTTATAAAAGCCCTTACAACACATTGTAACAAAAAAGTAGGTGTCCTGATTTCTGCTTTTGCTGAGTAACAGAATTCTGTGTTTTGTCTTATACCTGGGACATTAGAGCAACTTTTATCTACATCTCCAAAGTGGGTATAGAGGCACTCACGGGCCTTGCAGCAGAGAGAAGTCAAAGCATCAACATCTTATTGTCTCTATCATCCCTTCATCTCGATGGAGCTCAGTCCATCCTTTCTTAAGACAGGAGTCTTCCACAAGCCCAGTGTCTTGACATAGATGGATGGAGCTCCAAGTCTTGACATAGATGGATGGAGCTCCAATTTATTTTGTGTATGTTGTGTATTTTGAGCGCGGGGGTATGTATCTATGTGTGTGTGTATGTATGTATGTATGTTTGTGTACACACACACATATATATACAGGGCTTGAAAAATTTGACGGTGTCTCACCAGTCAGTCAAAAATTTTACCAGTCAGCATGACCGGACTATAGCCTTGCAATTTATGTTAAAAATGTTTGGGGACAGATAGAGACTTCTTTTGTGACCCCCACGGGGGGTTATTTTATTTTTTTTACTATATAATGAAAAAGTACCATAAATGTAAAAAAAAAAAAAAAAAAAACAAGAAAAGTTTCCCTATGTTATGTTATAAAACATTTATTCTTACCCATAATTTTAGTAAAACATAAAATTCGGGGTCAAGTCGGGTAAATAGACACCAAACATGTCAAGCCCTAAAATTGCGTGTGCCCACGAAAAACGCCCATAGGCGACGATTAAAATGCTTTTACTGCTCATCAGTTTAGTGTTATCAGTGATTAATGGCCCTAGAATTATTGCTCTCACTCCGACGTTTGCGGCGATATGTAACATGTGCGACACAATAGGCGCAATCGTCGTTTTAGTTTTTCATTTTTTTTTATGCTTTATTTTTTTTTTATGATTCTTTAATTTTTATATTACTTTTTTTTTAACACACAACTTTATTGCTATTACATAGGGGGCTAAGAAGCCCCCTATGGGATAGCCAATTTACATGACAGGTCCTCTTAATGGAGACATCAGGGGTCTCCAAGACCCCTAATGTCACCTAGGGACCCCCAGAGAAGCTGATGAAGCAGAGATCGGCTTCATCAGCTTCTCTAGCTGGAGAGTGACACTGAATGCAGGA